GGGGGACCGACCTGTTTGGCGTTCTGCTCTAGGTCTAGCTTTAGCATCGGCAGGTTGGCGCGCCACTCGTCCATCTGTTTCTCCAACTCAGCTACCTTCGCATTCACAGCGTCCTGCACACACACACACATGGGTGGGTGCATCAGGTCGGTCGCTTGGCTGTTTAGCTGCCTGCCTTACAAGCCGCTCCTTGGCCTGGCCGCACTGCTGCTTGGCCTGCTGTGCGGATGCCAGCGCCTCGGCCAGCTGCTGCTGCGACACTCGGGGACCGCCGCGCGCGCCGCCCATCCCACAAAGATTCGCGGAGAGACCTAGGTGGGTGATCGGTTGGTCGATCGATCGACACACCACACACAGCACATGGCAGAGAGGGGGGTCATTTGCATGGGAGTGGAGGGTGGGAGAAGGATTGGTAGCTTACGGCCTCCCGTCATTGCGCCGGTGGTGTCGATGACGTCACCCGTCAGACAGGTGACTGTCGCGTAGGCACACACACACACACACACATGTCGCGATGGTGGTCAGCACAAGCACAAAGTCACACCGTACTGACTCTTGTATTTGGGCGGTGCGTTCCTGTCGCCCGCAGGGTAGGCCACCTCTGCCGCCTGCATGCCTCACACACACAGACGAACACACGGATGGATGGATGGATTGAAGCGTGTATGCTATGCTTGCTCACCGTGTTGATATCTTCGGCAACGAGGGTCTCCCGGCAGAAGTAGTAGAAGGCCAGCTGCACCACGCAAAAGACGACAAGCGAGCCATTGTGTGGGTCGGGAGGGGGGTGTCGGGGCTCTCTGCGCCACCTTACCCTATACTCCTCTTTGGTAGGTGTGATGAGGTCCAGCAACTTGGGCAGGTCTGATTGACGGACACATACAGGTCTGAGATCGTGTAGAGAGGTGTGTGTGTGTGTGTGTGTATATGGGCGACAGAGAGGACCTCTGGGCGGCTTCATCTCCTTCAGACGCTCCAGCTTGGGAAGCAGCGCCTTCAACACACACACCCACAGCCATCCATCCATCCATCCGTCCATCGGTGTGTGTGGACCTGCTGCCTCTCCATGACAAGGCACGTGACGCGCTCGCCCTTGTCTCGCGCAGCCAGGAACTCCAACACCGCCTGCAGCCACCCGCCCCGCCCATCCGCCCGTTCACACGCCGACTTAATGAGTGAGTGGCCTGGTTCGGTTCACCTGTGCGTCTTGTGTGGTGTTGACGACCACGTAGTCCACCGCACCGGGGCCGACAGCAGCGGTCAAGGCCATGTTGTACTAACACACAAACACACACACATAGACATGAGACCAGGATGGATGGATGGGCGTGGGCAAGTGGGCACATACACACCACACACGGACCTTCTCATCGATGCGCCCGAGGTCGCCAAGACGCCCCTTGACGCCACCCAACCTGACACACACACACACACACACACATGCCGAGAGTGGCCGTGTGTGAGGGTGCTATGATGAGCGTACTCGCCCCTCCGCTGCGCGTCCATGATAGCCGTGAAGACGCTCTCCTGCGCGTGATCGTCGTGCTGGCTCTTGAGGCGGTCGTGCACTCCGGCCAGGTCGGTCTCGCGCTTGAGCAACGAGTCATGCTGCAGCACAGCACCACAGGTGGACACGGACAGATGCCTGTGTGTGAGTTGTGTTGTGTGTGAGGGTGGGAGGGACGTACCTTCTTCTGCAGCTGCTCCTTCTCCTTGGTGGCCTGTTGGTGTCCGTCGACACACACAGAGGGGAGAGGGTGGGGTCTGGAAAGGGTGGTCTGATACGTACCTTGGCGAGTTCCTTGGTGCCGTCACGGAGGTCCTGCTCACACGTCTTGACTGCCTGCACACACACACACACACACACAATGACGGATAGCCACCTGTGTGTGTGTGTATGGCGGCCCACCAAGCTTGGTCACCTACCTGCGATTTGGTCTCGCGCTCCTCATGGCCTGCAGGGGCACACGGAGAGAGAGAGAGAGAGAGATGAGCACGTGTCTGTGTGAGTGTGAGTGTGTGTGGTCTTGACAATAATACATTTCTTGAGGGTGGCTTCGAGGGTGTCTTTGCGTTTCTGCGCGGCGCCGGTCTTCTCAGCCAGACACTGGTTCGCATGCTGCACACGCACAGACAGACAGACAGACAGAGACAATGAGAGAGAGAGCGGGAGAGAATGAGTTGAGTTGCTTCTCCCTCTGTGTGTGTGTGTGTGTGGTGCTTGCCTTGTCTTGCTCGAACGCCTGTTGGGCCTTCTCGAAGTCAGCTGCCACACCACCACCACCACCACACACACTCAGGAATGCACACGAAGATGCACACGGCCGGCCGGCCGGCGGACCTTGCAGATTGACTTGCTGCTCGATGAGCCTTTCCTTCTCCTGAGTGTCCTTGTCGGTCTCGCCCATGCGGGAGCTCTTGACCTCCCTGTACTTGGCCTTCTCGTCGCGCACACTCGCCTCGGCGTCGGACACCTTCAGCCACACACACAGACAGACAGACAGACAGAAACAGTCAGTTGTGTGAGGGTGTGAGAGTTTGTGATGGGGGATGGGGTGTAGGCGGACCTACCTTGCTCTCCTTGTCAGCGGCTGTCTTCTCGTTGTTATCGGCTTTTTTGATCAGATCGGCCGCTTTCTTGCGCAGCGCCTTGGCCTCCTCCTACACACACACACACACATCCACACACAATATGGGCACAGACAGAAGAGCGTGTGTGTGCGTGTGGCTGCGGTGCGGTGCCTTCTTCGCGGGGGCTTTCTTGGTCAGATCGGCGATCTCCGCCTGACAGACGAAGACACAGAGAGGATCACACACACACACACATAGACAGACAGTGCGTCCGTCCGTCTGTGTGGCTGTGTGGCTGTGTGTGTGTGCAGAGGGTGGTGTACATCGAGCTTGGCGTCGCGGTTCTGGAACACCTGAAACTCGTCATTGGCCTACACCCACACCACACCCACACGCATGCAGCCCAGCCATCCGTCCGTCGTGTGTGTGTGTGTGTTTGTGCCAGCCACGCAGGGCTGCACACACAACACACCTTCTTGTACTCATTCTGCAGCGCCTTCTCCTCCCTGACGAGCTGACTAACGCGGGAGTCCACCTGACACACACATCCACCACCACCACCAAAAGAGAGAGAGAGAGAGAGAGGATGCTGCCCTGCCACCCCCACACACACAAACGCATTCATTGTGTCCACAGACGTAGCTACCTCCTTCTGTCGCTCGGCGGCCTCTCTCTGCTTCTGCTCGTGCTGCTGCAGCTCGCTCTCCACGGCCTGATGGACGGACGGATGGCGCCCATACCACGAGTAGGCCTTTTTGTGTGGGGTGTGTGGGGTGTGCTGTGCCTGGTAGGCCTGTTTCTGCTCCTCATATCGCCCGGAGAGTTTCTGCAGCCGACGAACACGCACCCACACCACACACACAGACAAGAGGGGCGTGGGTGTGTCGGCCTCATGAGATTCCCCGACACCCACCCACCCCACCCACCCGCAGCTCGAGCTGCTCCTTGAGCGCCTTGTTGACGAGGATGGTCTTCTCGCCGTTCACCCAGGCCTCAGCCTTGCGCCGCGCAGCTGACATGTCATTTGCACACACGCACATACACACACACAGACATAGACATACACAGCCATCCATACCACGGAGGTGATCTAGTGCACCTTACCCTCTAGGGAGTCCTTCTCCTCTTGGGCCACCTGCAGATCGGCCCACTTGACCGACACCTGCAGCACACATGAGTGACGAAATGGGGCGGGTCTGGTCTGGTCTGGTGGCCATCTCCCTCTCTCCCTCCGCCTCTCTCTCTCTCTCTCTCTCTCTCTCTCCGTGTGTGTGTGTGTCTGTGTGTGTGTGTGTGTAAACAAAACAAGATGCCTACGGTCTGTTTGAGCTCCTCGGTCTTGTCACGCCACTCGACGATCTTCTGGATGTACCTTCATACGACGCACACAGCCACACAGCGGAATGGAGGGATGGGCGTGTGGGTGTGGGTGTGCCCAAGGCCTATATACTGTGAAGAGCCGATGACGTCTTCCAGGTACTCGAGAAACCCCTCATCGTGGTCGTTCTGACACACACCGTGCGAAGGATGTGCGTGTGCGTGTTGGTGCGAGTGCGTGGCCACGCACTCCTCTCGTTTGCTTACCGGTGCTTTGGGCTTCATGGCTGCGATCTGCTCCACCTCCCCCTGTGTGTATGTGTGGGCGTCAATGCCATCTATCCATTAGAGGGGCGAGTGGGTGTGCGCCTGCCTGTAGGATGAGGAATCGGTTGTGCGTGAGGTCGATGCCGTGCTGCCGCAGCGCGTGGGTCACGTTGGCCATGGTCGCCTGACGGTCCTGCACACCCACACACAGCACAGCATCATAGCCGTCTACCCATCCATCCAGCTCTCTCTCTCCCTGTGCGTGGGTGGTTGCATCGTTCATTACGTTGATGTAGTATGTGGAGGAGTTGTCCTTGCCCGCCCTCCGGCTGATGCGGAACTCCGACCCCTCGACGACACGATAGCCCACCGGATCGTCATCAGGCTGCACACACACACACACACACACACACACACAGAGGGAGAGAGAGAGAGAATGGTCTCAATGCACCCGCAGAGAGAGAGAGAGGAAGAGAAAGAGAGAGACCGACCAAGCGACCACCCCACTGCCCAGTCACCATATCGACAATCTCCTGGAAGTCCACGGTCACCTTGGCAGAGTCGGGCTGGCTGCTGCTGCTGTGGTGCACGAGCTCCGCCACCCGGTTCATGCGGATCTTGCGGGCCTTCTTGGCGAACACAAAGAGGAAGGCGTCCAGCACGTTGGACTTGCCGCTGCCGTTCGGCCCCAGGATGCCGTTCATCCGCTGCGCAGCCGTTGTGTGGACGCACAGACACACACACACACACACATTTCTATCAGATGCACTTCTGTGGAGTGTGTGTTGCGTACGTGGCTGAAGGTGCCGAGGATCTTCTTGCCCGAATACGATTTGAAGTTCTCTAGCGTCACCTGGCACCCATAACAAGGAGGAGAACCATCCATCCATCCACATGGCTGGCTGTTTGTCTGTGGCTGAGCTCACCTTTCTGATCATGAGCCTGGGCTTCCCAGTGCCGCCCGCCCCGTCCTTGCCGTCCTTGTCATTCCCGTTCGCTCTGGCCAACACGCCATCTCCGCCACCTGCCGCGGCTGCCGCTGCTGCTGCGGCTGCTGCCGGCGGTGTTGGCGGCACTGGGCGCCGCAGACGGTCCCTCTTGTCCATCTCACTCAGTCAACCACGGCCCATGCGATGCATTCACTGGGTTTGGAGTGTAGGGTTTAGGGTTTGGGTGTAAAACCCTACAGTCCTGCTGATTGGATTGCAATGGGCCATCCCCCTCCCTCGTTGTCTGTCTGTCTGCCTGCCTCGCCCACTGGCAGGTAGACAGATGCCCATCATCATGGGGATGCATTGCTTCGGTCGGTCGGTCGGTCTGTCTGTATGTCTGGTTTGCGTCAACTGCACATCAGGCTTGTACATCAATGTCATGAAGACGACGTTGATTCCTTGTCCTTGTTGGCCGCAACGGCGACCTCGAAGCCGCCATAGCCGGCGACCAATGCAGCGTCCTGCATTCCAGCCAGCCATCCATCCATCTGTCTGTCTGTCTGTGTGTTGTGTGTGTGGGTGTGGGTGTGCTGTGTGTTAACGTGCCTCTGATATGGGCTCGATGGACATGGTGGCTTTGACGTGGTCCAAACCGGGCTCGCTCAACAGAGAACCTGCACACACAGACACACACACACACACACATAGAGAGAGAGAGAGAGAGGGAGAGAGGGATGGGCACGTGTGCTGGTGTGGGTTTGTCTGTCTGTCGGCGGTTTACCGTCCATTGCCCATTTGAAGAGGAAGGGGTCCTCGTGTCCAGTGAAGATGACGCTCTCGTGCAGCCGCACTGACATGCTGCATACACACACACACACACACATCCCTCTATCCATCCTTCTTCCTCTCATGTGCGACCGACATGTTGGTCATGGTGGGCATGGCCGCAATGAGCCGCATCGTCGGCAGGGTGTACAGGAAGGCCATCCGAGCGCCTCCACCTGCACACACACACACACGCGCGCCGATGACATTAATGAGATGGTGTGTGTGTGCTTGTGTGCTTGTGTGCTTGTGTGCGTGTCGGGGTGTACCATACCAGCCACCAGCCAATGGCCAAGAGGGTCACAATCAACGCTCGACAGATGGTGCGGCGCGAAAGGGGCTGAGAAACCACACACACACACACACACTCGCACAGCACAGCACATGTCCTCCCGTGTGGCTGTGTGTTATGTGGGTGTGCGGAGAGGTACGTGTGGGCTCGGTGGGGGCGTTGGTTGCTGGCGTGAAGGACGACACGTGTGCACCGCTGCGGGGGTCTGCACACACACACATTAGACGTATACTGGTTGGTCGTGTACCTCTCTCCCTCTCTCTCTCTCTCTCTCTCTGTGTGTGTGTGTGTGTGTGTATGTGTGTGTGTGTGGATGTACCGAAGAATCGCAGGCAGCCGTCCTCAGAGGCCGTGACAAGCTGACCACCACAACAACAACCCAACACAGGTACAAAACACAACACGAAGCTCTCTCTTTGTCCTGTCTGTGCCGATTCAATCATATCATTACCTGCTTCGTCTGTCCGGGGACGTACTTCATCTCGTGGATGACCACTTTGGGGCCCCCGGTGTTTACCGTTCCCATCTTCCGGACATCTGCACACACACGCACCTCGGACCACACACGCACCTATCTGTGTGTGCGTGTGTTGCCTGAGGGGGGAGAGAGAGATTCCCTCCCTACCGGGTGTGTTGAGGTCGTGGACGATGAACGAGCCGTCGGTGGACGCGGCAATGAAGAGATGGTTCCTCTGTCACACAGACACACACAGACAGACGAATGGATGGATGGATGGATGGGCCATCGTCCTGTGTGTGTGTGTGTGGCAGTTACGTCTGTGTCGATAGCCAAAGCCACGTTGACCGAGCTGCTCTCCTGCACACACACCCCACCCCACACACGCCACACACGCCACACGCGGGCATGAGAGTGTGTGTGTGTGTGTGTGTGCAGGGAGACGAATGATCGAGGACACACAAACCGGCAGAGGGATCTCTCTCGGATGCACCCCCCGAACCTCCCCTGCAACTCCACCACACACACACACATATGAGCCACCAGCAAAGGTCAACGAGTGTTGGTTGATGCCTACCGGTGGTCCGATTGCCCTCGTCGCACACCTCCTGCCAGTTCCACACGTGCACCCGGCCGTGCGCAGCCCTGCACACACACATACGTGTGGATCCCCTTGAGCAGACAGGCCTACAGGCACACGCGGCCTATCTGTGCGTGAGGGCGTGAGTGCCCACGAGATGAGCCTGTTGGTGGCACTGTGGAAGGCGGTGGCCAGGACGGGCTTCGTGTGGGCATGGGGGAGGGAGAACAGCTTCACCACAGATCGACCGCTGAGTCACTCATTGCACACACATCGATAGGCCGACATCCGTCTGTCATGGTCTCATTCTCTCTCTCTCTCTCTCTCTCTCTCTGTGTGTGTGTGTGTGTGTGTGTATTTCTGTGCCGGCTCACTCTTCGTTGACTGCGAGTGCCGTCAGAGAGCCGTCGCGGTGGCCGTAGGCTATCTGCTGCTTGCTGCCTTGGCCGTGGCCGCAGAAGGAGGCCGTGCAGTGAATCGCGTCCATCTGGTATGATATGACCCAGGCCAGTCACTCCCCCGGGGCACGACAACAGGACAGGCAGACAAACAGATCTGACACACAAACAAAGAGATTGACTCATTCGATGAACCATTTACACGACCAAGTGAATGCGTGTGTGTACTTCTCGTGGGTTGCTCACCCTTGCTCCTTCTCGTCTTTGCTTGGAAAGCTCGCAAAAGATCTGCCATCAAAACCCGTCCGCAGAGATCTTTGTGATGGCGTCAGCGCCGCAGCCCCGCCTACGTGTGGCCTACCAGGTGCATTGCCTGCGTGGATGTAATCATCTGCTCTGGTGGTTGATGAGCCGATGGCTGGGCTGTGTGTGTTGTGTTGTGTTGTGTTGTTCAGGGTGTGTGCGGTGCCTACAGCCATGCGGCCGTGGTGCAGCTCTTCAAAGACGACAGCAGCAGGCAAGGAGGGAAAACACATTGATGAATCAATCAAACGGATGACGTCTGGATGATGGCGTGTGGCTGAACGAACGGGTCATGTCAGGGATGAACCATCATCCGAGAGCGGTCGGTGCGAGTGTGGTGTGTGTGGTGTATGGCTTGGCCTTTTTGTCAAATCTAACACAGGGGGATGGATGGATCTCTGCCTGACTGATGTGTGCGCTGTGCAGATGGAGAGAACCGGCGCGTCACGGCGGTGGGATGCCCCTCGTTTGACAAGGTAGGTTAGGTTGGCTGTAGGTGTTTATCAGATGCACTGACCTGTGTGGTGTGGTGCATCGCTGCAGGTGTTTGAAGCGGTGAGCAATGGCGAGTGCGACTACGGCCTGGTAGGTCGGCGGGCGGGCTCGACACGACAAGCTCTGCATGTGTGTGTGTTTAGGTGCCAATTGAGAACACCCTGGGCGGCTCCATTCACCGGAACTATGACCTGCTGCTCAAACACAGCCTGCACATCATTGGTACGCCTCGCGCACAGACAGACAGACAGACAGACACATGTGTGTCTGTGTGTGTGTGCAGGGGAGCTGCATTATCGCGTGGAGCACTGCCTGCTGGCCTTGCCGGGCATCTCCAAGGGCCAGATCCAGCGCGTCATCAGCCACCCGCAGGCACTCGCGCAGTGCCAGGATTACCTCTCACAATGGGGTGGGTACAGTACACGTCTGTCTGCAATGGCTGGATCCATCAAAACATCCGCTCATCATTCAGCCATGGAGACGCTTCTCTCTCTCTCTCTCTGTGTGTGTGTGTGTGTGTGTGTGTGTGTGCAGGGGTCCAGACGGAAAATGCCTACGACACGGCCGGGAGCGCCAAACAGATGCGCGAATGCGCTGACGGGCACGTACGTGTGGATCTCTGTGTGTGTGTGTGTGTGTGTGAATGCGAGTGTGTGTGTGTGTGTGCAGGCGAGCCATCCCTCGATCACGCCCAATACGGCGTGTATTGCCTCTGCAAAGGCCGCACAGGAATACAAGCTGACAATCGTCGAGTGGGCTATCTCCCACCCCCCGGACACACACAGACACACAGAGAGAGACAGAGAGCGAGAGGGAGGGAGGGATGTGTGTGTGATGGATGGCTGCAGGCGGTCGATTCAAGATGTGGACTTTAACTTCACGCGCTTCCTGCTGCTGAGCAAGCAGGCGCTGATCGTGCCGCCACACATGATCGAAGGTCCCTCTCCCTCCCTCCCTCCCTCCCTCCGTCCCCCATTCATGAGTTGTATGTGTCCTCCACAGGGACCACGAACGTGGCCATGAAGACGTCCCTCGTGCTGTGGGTAAGCGAACCGAACCGAACCAGCCACACGATCGATCGACCTGAAGGCGATGGATGGGTTGCACCCTCTCTGTGTGTGTGTCTGTGTGTCTGTGTGCGTGAAGGTGTCGCACAAAGTGGGCAGCTTGTTCCGAATCCTGGCCGCTTTCGCACTGAGGTGACTTCCCACCAACACCCACACACACACGAATGGGTGTGTCCATTCGTTGACGAGTGCATCCATCCCCCAGGGACATATCTCTGAGCAAGATCGAGTCTCGGCCCGTGCCAGCGACCTACCTGCAGGGCCTGCAGGTGAGTGAGCCCGGATGCATGTTAATACACACAAGTGCGTGTGCGCCTATGCGGTACTGTGTGGTGTTGGTGCAGGTGACTGAGTTGGAGGGCAGCGCCTCGCCCGATAGCTACCTGCACCACTACCACTACATGTCAGTCGCCAAACACCACACACACACTGACACGTTCGCACCGCTGTATGTGTGTGTGTGTGTGTGTGTGTGTGTGAAGGTTCTACATCGACATCATGGCCACAGCAGACGATCCCAACTGCCAGGCAGGCACACACACACAGAAGGGATGGTCATTGTGTGCTCTCGGCGTCCGTGTGTGTGTGTGTGTGTGTGTCCAGTGTGCCATCGGCCATCTGCGAGAGCTCTCTCCCTTCGTCAAAGTGCTGGGTACTCTCACCCACCCCACCCTCCTACATGCCCCTCTCCTCTGCCTGTGATCCACTCACTCCACTGCCAGGCACCTACGCCACGGGCCACAGGGGCGAGCGCTTCACCCGGCGTATCCTCTACGACATCCATCCCTACCTCGGCACCACCCAGGTGCAGCTGAGCGCCACCCGCACCCAGTCGCTTCTGCGGCCGGCAGACCTGCCCGTCACACACAGGGGGCTCACTGTCGGCCAATACGGAATGACACTCGGTACACCGGAATGCCTGCAGGTGTGTAGAGGGAGGGGAACATACCTGTGTGTGCGGTGGTATGGGTGTCTGTGTGTGTAGGCCACATAGCTGCACAGCATCAGCTGAAGATCGGCATAGTGGGGTTCGGCAACTTCGGGCAGTTCCTCGCCAAGACATTCGCTAGGTGATGCCCCCCCTCCCTCACCAAAAAGAGAGAGAGAGAGAGAGACGCCCTCCGACACAGAAAGGTCTTGCTGCCTGGATGGAGGCCGCTTATCCGTGTGTGTGTGTGTTGGCGTCTGTCACACAGGAAGCACCCAGTGGTGGGCACATCACGCTCGGACCAGTCGGAGATGGCCCGGTCTTTGGGCGTGGCGTACGTGCCGGGCATGGACTTCGCCAAGATGATTGCCGAGGGGGTCAACGTGTTTGTCATCTGTACGAGCCCCCCCCCCCCC